AAATTCAGTCCATTCACACAACACTCTAGGAGTTTCCACGTAGCGAGAAGACTCTCTGTAGATTAGCTGTTAAAATCACCAGCTTTGAAACTTTTCCAGGGGGGCGAAACAGTCGGCTAGTTCCCATTAATGATATTTAGGCACTGAGGAAAGTTGGAATTGGCATTGGAAAGAAGTCAGGAACATGATCTGGCTGGGAATTTGCCTTCGCGTCAGAGGGCTTCACCGTTGAACACGAGTATTGCAACCGGTTCGGTGCCATGAATATGGTATTCCCATTCAGTTGGTGGAATTAATCGTGAAACGAAAACAACATGCTCCCGTGTCATTCTACAGCGACGAAGAAACACGAACATGTGGTGAGCATAAGAAAATCCAAACCTTTTGAAGTGCATACAAACTTCAGAACTATAAAACTACAAAAAGTTACGTGCTTAAAATTTTCATTTCAATTTCGAGCCATACTTTGGCATTTTTTGCTTGCTACTGCGTTTATTGCTAGAAGGTGTTTTGGTGGACGAAAGCGGACTTCCGTTTAGGTCTAGAAGGGAGGATCCCTGGGAAGAGCAACTTTTTCATGCGAAAACGGTTTTTGCTGTTCTTGCGATTCGCGAGAAAAGGCCCGAATTCAATTTTTTCAACCAAAAGTATGAAACTATTTTTCTCATTTTTAGACGTAACGGCTTCGTAAGGAACAAATTCCCTGCCGCTGCGCGGCCCTCCATATACATGGATAGAAATAGCATCGACTTCGGAAGAGTACCTCGATTCTCTTTCACCGGTTCCGGATTACAATGCCGCAGCAAAAAATCCCCCAAGTGCAGCCAGTCGCGCTGAGCAACTGCAGTCTGCAGCTCTGTAGTAGTTTACAGGAAGTCGTATAATTTCCATGTTACGTTTGGTCAATTAAATGTTCCCCTCACCAGATTTAGGTCGAGCGCTCATCTCTTTCCAGCTGTATCAATGAAAAACAAGCAGCCAAATGAAGCCTTATTGGATCCTCATATTGCGGACTTTGCAGTGAAAGGGTCCGAAACAAAAGAAGAAACCGCTATGCTACAATGTTATACTGCATATACCTGCCAAGAATGATCGATAGGGTGAAAAAAGAAAGCCAAGCAAAAAAACGTTCATTCAGGCGGCGAAAGAAAGTTAGTCTGATGGGCGCGATACACGTGGGAACTTTATTGAAACGCCTATGGAGCACGCACTTTTGAAAGGCTCAGAGTTCTAGGAAAGTTCGAGTTCCTTCGACATTAGTATAGGTTGAAGCAGTGTGTGTATTTTATTTCCGCCTTACAAAAGGCCCACAAAGCAACTGTGTCAAAGGGCACGCAATTGCTTCACTCAGTAGCTATAGCTCAGGTTTGAAACAATTAAGAGTCAGCCATACCATTCGTTGGTAGGCACAGCAGTTTTGTAGTTTACCCAGCGTCTGTATTCTACAGTATGCGAGCAGGGGCTAGTGGAAATATCGACCAGTACTCACGAGGCATAGTAAAAGACCTTTCCTCCAAGAGATCAGCTTGGCGGTGTATGATAATTCCTAAGCTTCCTTCGGACAAGTTCAGACCACGAGAAATACTCGGTACATCCGTCCCACGATATAATACTCTAAGTATGTATGTGCGAGTGTATGTGTGTGCTTGGCGTCCGTCTGCTTGTTACGAAATGCATGCGGCCCGTCGCAGTAATGACGTTGGATGGGGAACAGAAACAGTGACACACTACTAGGGAGTCAAAATGTGATCACAGCTGATAAAATCCATATGAGGCCTCAAAATTGTGGAGATTGCCAGGTTCATAGCGCGGACAGGGTACATGGGGATGTGCTAAATGTCGGTGTGAGTACGACCCCACCTCCTTCGAATGGGGTCCAGGCACGACCCCCCTCCTCCGCCTCCACGGCTTCTTCGCCGACGGACGAGCGATGAGTATATAGTCGCGAATAGTGCATATAAAAAATTAATACGACCCCCCTTTTCCACAAAAAATCAACTATCAAAATAAATTTGTCTTCCAAATACGACCCCCCCTCCCCAGAGCAAAAGTACGACCCCCCCATGGGTTTGACACAACGATGCCCTGAGCGCGGATCTCAGCTGGAGACTAGTTTCAAAGGTTGCATAAATTCAATGCAAGCATTAATGCAGGTTAATTGTGTTCTGGATTGCCACCAACCTGCCGGCGCAAACTTTCATGTCTAACTGATTGATATGTGTAACCCATAGGCAATATTGAGCATGTGATTATGACCCTTAGGTAAATAGTTAGATACTCGATGCGTGACCTCTCCTGTATTGAGAGGCACGCCTAGATTAAAGCATTCTACCACGTCCACCACCGAGACCACCCCGTCTCGGACTACCTAGAGACCACCCCGTCTCAACTATATTGTATTCCATCGCAACTACAACGAGACCAAATTAAAAAGCACAAGACAGTTAATCTGACGAAACAATAGTAGGACAATGCACTGAGATAGGAGAGACGGGCAAGAGAATCGTTATTTGCCGCTCCGCCGCGCGCGGAAGTGGGCGCGGCGTTTTCTTAACTCGTGTTAACCTGTCGACTGGAGCACCGGAACTTCATGTAGACCCCGTCATCGTAGACATTCATGACCATTTTCGGTTCTGAATTGCCTGTTGTCGCCATCTACTACCTGTAACCATCGTCATTTGCGGGCGCAACGTCGTACGCGAGAACCTCGAAGCTGCATCTGAAGAAGCAAACAGCTGCCAAGAGTGCTTCGATGCGGTCAAAACCCTCATTTATCAAATGGTCTCGGCGGGGTACGATATAAGAAAGACTTGTGACCCTATGTGGTCTGAAGCCATTCTGAAGAAGTTTCCGTACGATATTGTGAGAGATAAATTGAAAGGCATAGCAAATGACAGGGGCTTATGAGAGTTGCGCCGTTGTCCTTCATGGAGATGGTAGGCTTTTACACTGCGAAACAGCGAAATCATAATGGTTCAGAACGGTTCAGGAATTGGCACATCAGTGACAGGCAATAAATTCGAGTTGACACGAAAAGAGCACAGGCTCATTGTACGCCTGAAAAAGCGAAAACGTCAATAAGAAAAAGTAGATGGCAATTCAAACTAAAATAAAGAAGGTGGTCAAGGGTTCACAGTCAATATGTCCTGCCGTTAGTAAGATTTGTAGAGTTTCCTGTGTGACGAATGGAAGAATGTTATGACGTAAAGAAAGCATTATGACGTGAACAGAGCAAAACAAAGTTTACTTCCCCCCACTGCTCCACAGCTATGCCTCTTTCAGTAATGCAGTAGTAGTAATGCGTTAAGTGCTACACTGCACATCAGAATTACTCCAGTTCCAACTTTTACTCATATCAGCCTTCACGGTCATCAATTAAATGGTACTACTCGCAGTAAAAACTCAGTCATTTGTCATAGGCAGATAGAAATAATTTTTACAGAATATTTTGTGATCACTTAGCCATGTGATCATACTTTCGCATTCTCGCTTGCTTCAGAGAGGAGCGCCTGGCAAAGCCAGGACGGCTCGCCTCGTAAAGATGAGACATGACTCAAGAAAAGAAGCGCTCGGCGACAGTTAGTGGGGATCCGAGTGGTGAATCCATGATCCAAAACCTACGCTCCCGTGTTGAGGACACCGAAATCCAACTTCTGTTAGGTAGTGCCAAGTTTTCGTTTCGTTTTTTCGTACATAAATTACAGCGCAAAGGAGCAGCTATCAAATCTAGCATATCATTATATTGTTTGAAAACAATTAGGTCTACGAATGACGTTTGAGTGGAAATTGATGCTTCCGTGCTTTCCATAAAAGCAGTTTTGGAGACTGGTCTTAATTCGATAGCTCAAAGATGTCCGTCACTCTACTCCAGAGGATCAGCACCAGTCCTTGAATGACTTTACGGTACCTGAATTGTCATATTCTTAACAAAGGATAGATCTGATTCCGCTACCTCGCAGCATTCAATTTTCATCCCGTCTTTCACTGTCACTGGAAAGATTAGTTAAACAAACTTTCTGATTGTAAGATACAGCAACTCCTTCCAAAAACAGTAGTTTCACTTTGGATTTTGATGGGCCTCATGTAGCTGATCAATCTTTGCCTTCTCTTCTGTTTCTTACTGGTGTGTGTCCTATACCTGAACACCACCTTTACAAAATAACTTGGGCACGCTCCACGAATATCCGATATCCAAACGACTCCGTCAACCGCAGGGTATACCGCTTTCTTGATCCAAAAGCTGAGGAAGTCCTCTCGAGACGAAGCAGCCGCCATTCGCACTGGTTAGCGCAAGGCCCAAACTCATTTCGAAACTCTTTCTGGTGTGACGGCTTTTTTTGCTACTAGCGTTCCCAATTTCGGATTGTGAGAGTGAGGGAATAAAGTGAAACGCTGGCACCAACCAGTGAGAACTCGTCCTACCGCGTTTTTATCCGATGGTTCCGCAAACTGTTCTCCATAGGACATTCAAGCGGAATTTCTGCTTTTTTTTTTCTTTACTTTTGTATTGTTTACCATTATGACATTAGCCGTCGAGCCACCCAAGTCACAGTTTTTGAATGCGGGGCGTGGCTTTGAGAGGCGATTGTTTTTATGAAACTGCAACAGAACATGTCTGTGGGAAATTGCCGCGATCCCAAACAACAACAACAACGTTGAGAATTGCCCCAAACAACGTCTGGTCTCACTCATTCCTAATCCATTTCATTCTTATCCTATGCGTCGCTCAACACCGCCATGTCTTCCTTGGTGCTTCGCATAAAACTTCGCTCCTACTGTGATATCTTACAGTAGTGCCTCTTGACTGGTTGACCAGCGAGGACAGTTTATATGTATACGAGAGATTAGCGACTGTGTACTCAAATTCCCGTACATTACCACTATTTACCTTGATGATTCACGTTACCACCGTTCACGTTGATGAGAAGAAAGTCGTGATTTTCGATTAAAGAGAATCAAGCAACGTTGTGTAGAATGAGAAAAAACCTTTCTCAGGATATATGGATGTGCAGCAAATAGCTGCTCATGGTTCTACGATCATATTCGTCCTGGCGGCAATAGTGAACATCATCTTTATCTTCATGATAAGGAATGGAATGCGTAGCGCTGTTGGTCAAGTCTATAAAAATATTATGACTTGTTTTGCAGCGTGCAATATCACTTTTGCATCCGTAGAATTCATGGTTAAACCTGTGAGTTATTTTTCTCCAACTATTCCGACGCTTTCTGTTTGAACTTCACTGCCTATGAACCTCAATTGAAGGATCTGCCAGTTCCATTTATTCGGTGCTTCCCATGGTTCTGCTCCACCTTGTTGCTTGATAATGTGGCAGTGCTAACATTCTATGCCGGTACTCGCGAGGTGGTCATGACGATGCCGATCCGTCTAAAACATTTGGGTTTGTCAGTTTGTCGACGGGGGGGGGGGGCATTCGGCTTTTCATAGATGTGCCGACCCATCTAGGTAGCCTTTTCTCGAGTTGACACGTTTTAGGATGGTGGCTAGACGATCTTACTCCAGCTTCACAGGCGTTCACAAGTTTTACCATGGTGAGATTCGTAAACCGGCTAGGGAAGCAATGTTAGTACAAAATGCTCCCTCCCGTCGCTAAACAGCGCCAACACTTGCAAAGTGCATCATGCACCTCCTTCTTTTTAGCCTATTCTTCGGCTAACTTATGAGAGCGCACCGTAGTGGAGCAGTTGTAAATGTGCTACTTGACGAGGTTGGAAGTCCACGAGTTGAGTCCTGCCGACAATGCCGTGAAGTTGCACGTTTCGACAGCGGTTGCTTCTAGTGCGAGCCCCCATCATATTTGATTCTGAGCCTAAAGTACTTTCTCAGATCCTCAAAAACCAAAAACAAGAGGAAAGCATTGGAAAGCACCAAGTCATTTAAATACCCGTTCACCGTCTATATTTCTTATTTTGTGCTCAGTAATAGCAGAGTTGGATTAAAAGAGGATTCTTTTAATTTTCCATTTTATAGTACGCCAATATCGAACGCTGTTATCTGTGCAGCTCTTTGCCAAGTTGCTAACTCTGTTCTATTTTAAAAGTATTTCTTGCACTACTTCTGTCGAGTCGGCGAAGCGCTCCGGCACGGCAGGCGAGCGTATTGTGGGTGGTTCAAGAAGTTCATATAACAATGAGAGCCTTGGAGATGATAATAGTGGTGGGCGGCCATCGGTTGTGACAAACAATTGAGACACTTGTCGACAAACTGCAAGCAAAGCTGAAGGATAGCGCCTCGAAATTGAATGTCTGTCAGTTTTTTCCCACATGTTACAAACCTCTAGAAGCTCGACTGAGTGAGTGCCGCACGAGACCGCTTTTACACAACAGAAAGCGAAGATGTCCTTACCATATTGTGACGTGATATCAGAAATGGACCATTTACAACAACCGCCGGCTGCCTGATGAAATATATGAACAAGAATTAGGTTCAACGACATTCTCATACACGCTGATTCAATTTCTAACCAGTTTGATACAGCAGCACTCAGTGATCTCATCGCTCATAGATGTCCGAACTTGTGCAAGGGAGAAGAGCGAGCTCGTTTTCCATGGAATAAAAACGGTGCATCTGCGAGGAGTGTGTAGGTAGATACGGAGCTTGACTGGAGGAGTTTTAACCGGAGTAAATGTCTCCCAAATTTGAGAATCGAAACCACAAGAGCTTGTTTACGATATAATAAAATGCTTATGATGTTTTAGGGCATTCATATATACGGTACTTCTCTGATGACATACAGTCACGGTATTTTCGGTACAGCAAAGCCATGGGGTTTTTTATCCCTCTGCTTATTCATAGGAATGTATGGTGTGAATACCGCACTACTAGCGCTTCACTTCGTCTACAGATACATTTTCCTTTGCAGGTTTGTAATACATAGAATACTCTTGGCGAAGATAGCGTAGAACAATGATCATGTAAAAGCACTTGGCGTTATCGGCACCTTTTCGGGACGTTTTAGGAACAATGATAGCGGCCATATTTACCTTCACAGCTGAATTTGGTTACCACTAATTGTTCGTGGAGCAGTTTCATTCTTACTTGATCAATAGCATCAAGTGAAATGCGGAGGTGTGGAAGCGTGAGCGGTCAGGGCCTGCGTCTCTCTGCTATGTGCTTATCTGTCCGTGAAGTGGGAACTTAACATCGTGAAACTGCTTGCTTCCTCGCTGATTAGGTCTTCAGAGAAGGAGCCTCCGCGAAGCAGAGCATTGAAACTGAGCGCTTCGCAGCAAAAATTGAGGAGGTTCCCTCTATCCAGTCGTTATCACTTTGGCATAGTTGATGCGGAGGAAAGTGATGCCGCGCCGGACGCAGTGGCAGCATTTGAGCTCATTCTAGCCAAGCTTTCTAACCTAACTACTCGCTAATTATTGTATCTTTAGACCAAATCCTGTACCAGTGCCACCAAGACACTGGAAAACATTGCGTAATGACCTCAAAAAGGAGTTGATTATAACTTTGCCTCATCCTCAACCTTTTATCAACAATTTCAGACAGCGTTTGTTAAGTATCTTCGATGGAGCAGCTACCATCGCAGTCGTGACTTTATCTGTGCTTTCATGGGGTTTCGTCTATGGCCTCATTACATTTTATTGTTTTGATGCCACTGAAGACTATTACAAATATGCCAGCCCATCGGTTTACGCAAAGCTCGGAATAGATGCTCACAGTCTGTCATTCTTCTGCATCTTCACTCACGTATGGCTTTGCCTTAACATAACACACGTAATCTGTTGTTTGTGGGTAAAACCTATCAAAGGCGTTGGGAATGTGGTAAGAAATGCTGTAACTCAGCGGAAGCATGGTTTTGAATAAAATTCAATTGTGCCGCACGGCTATCCACTCTGCTAGCCATGACCGCACGCGCTCTTGTCTGCTACCTCTCGATTCTGGTTCCACTTACTTCTGACCGTTTTTCTCTGGGAATATAGGCACGTGTTCCACATCAAGGATAGCGCGGAGAGTGCGGCAGCTTGGTATCGTCACGCTCCAGCCCCGTTCAAGTGCGCTTCGAGCGGAAAAAGTGGCACGCTACTGCAGCAGTTCACCAAGCACATGAAAAGCACCGTCCTGGGATGTAGTTGTGCATTTGCCTTCAAACTACAGTCTTTCCATCAGTCTGTGTCCTTTATTTGGTATCACCTGTTTTGAGAGAATAAACACTGAATACGTTCAACTGTAAGTTTAAAAAAGCAACACGGACTAACCCTTTGATCGAAGGAGCCGAAACCTTGAATGGAAGTTGAACAGTGTACGTGGTACATCTGGTATCGATCTGTCAAATCTTTTGAAGACTCTGTAACTTTCAGGAAGTGAATGGCGACACCACAACCATCCACTGGAATTCAGCAGTAGGGCTAAGCATGATCTATGCTATGATGATTGTTACCTTTTCCATCATGACAGTCTGCGGGATTAAAATGAACCAAACTCTGAAGAAGTCCTCAATGAGTCAACAGTCGAAAGCGTTACAAACTCAGCTGCTAAAAGCGCTAGTTGTACAGGTAACTCGGTTTATGAGTACACAAGTTTCTTTTTATATAGTCCTTCTCGTTCCGGCTCCAGTACCGCAAAGTGCACGTTTTCAGGCTTTGACACCGTTTATCTTTTCATACCTATCTCGAGTTGTGATGTACACCAGCGTCGTTTTGGGAATTCAACCACTACGGTAAGTGATATGGGTGCGCAGGGTCTCCTGCAAAGGCAAGGTTGAAAAGGAAGCTCTGCGGCAGCACAACTTTCAGGTTGACCTTTCTATTTCACATACGAGATCATTCATTATCAAGGCGATGACCGCTGGCACACGCCCATTTCCAGCGCAAGTCACCGAGTCCATTCATCTAGTATTAAGGCGCAGCGATGGTGGGAGTTGATCGATTCGAGTCAATGTTGATCATTTTTGAGAATTACTCGCTTTCTGCTTAGAGTTGGATTATCGTCCATGGCTGTTAGTGAGGCGATACCACCAACAGTGGAAAAAAGGGTATGCCCACACTTCCCAATCGGGATCCAGATTCGTGTACAACATCGTTCTTTCCAAGGGGCGCGGTGTCTCAGGGTAAGTAGAAATTCAGTTTCATCAGCAGAGCGGAACAACTTTTTTCCATCCCTATCCGCTTGCACTGAAGGCGGCTTTTTCGCGGAAAATTTCATGGATCTCTTCTTGAAAGTCTATGTAGAGGACCTAGATCCCTTTGTCACCCCCTATCTCTGCAAGAAATCGTTCCGTCTTCGAGAAGTACAAAAAACTCAGTAATGGCTGTTCCGAACTCTTTGTCAAACTGACGCCACTCGGTTCGAAAGTGTTCTCAATTGCCAAATGAATGTTTTCTACCCCATAAGCGCATACCGACACTTTGCACATCTTCGAGAGACTATATCTAGATTTCATGAAATGATAGTGAAGCGTCAGCGTGGCAAACGTGGTGAACAAATATCTCGAATGCAGCGCTATCGCCAGCTCCTCTGCTTCAAAGGCCCAACAGCAAACCTTCTAGAATAAGTAGAAAATCAGCGGATTTCCTAGCTCTTAACCTACGCGAAGTCGTGGTACATCTGTGTGCTGGAATCTCCAAGAACACAGTGGAGTTATCACAAACCGAAACTGTTTCAAAGTGTTCTGATTTCCTGAGCTGAGCAGTTTCCTCAAAGTGTACTGGTACTTTCTTTTCCACTCAATTTAGGATGAGCCGCTAGGATTTAGGGAAAGCATGATTGAATAGGCCAGAACCATAGGTATTCCTAAACTATTCATGTATTCCTAACATTAACATTACCAAAAGAATACTGGTGCCGATACCAGTCTTCTTCAACGTAGTGGAAATGAACACCTGAATAACGAAGCTAATAACAATTGTGTCTGCCCTTTCAGAATATACCAATTTATGCCTTTGGTTGTTACTAGCTACACGGTTATCGACCCAATCGCGATCATGTTCTTCGTATGTGACTTTCGAAGGAATCTGAAGAAATGCGTGAGAGTCAGGCTCTGTGCGAGGAAGAATTTTCAAGTGCAATCTGTGGCGACACCAAGTCAACGGACTCCCGTATTTTTTAAAACTAACGGTGCAGTATCAGGAATCGCAGCAGCTGAACATGCTAAAACTGTGTAGTTTGTATGAGCTGCTCTCATGTGTTCATCCAACACTCCGCAGACGTTACACAGCAAAATATGGATATATTACAACACAGAATATTTCGACATTGAGTTGAGTAATTACGAGCCGACCAGTTTATTATGTTTGCGGTGCAACTTCCTTTACGATATTTCCCTTTTTGCTGTAACAATTTTATGGCAGTCATCAGTCCATACTCATTCCTTGTCTACATTTTTGTTAGTCTGACTATTCGCCCAACTATTACTATTTGCAAGTCATAATTTAGTGAGTTGTTTGCACTTGTGTGGACGTTCGTGATATAGCACAGAATGCTTCACGGCCCTTCAATGTTTTATGGATGCAGTCATGGAAACACTCGATTTTCCTCAAGTAAAACGTTTGACAAAAGGATTCTCGCTTTCATAAGACATTTGTGATCAATGCACTTTGTGGAACTAAAAAGGCAGACTGTTGTTTGTGGCTTCTCTAAGGCGTATACTCAGCATCCGCTACCATTAACAAGCAAAGGCGTGTGAGAACTGGATGGTTTTTAAATATTCCAAAATGGAAGCAAAATTTCAAATCCTCAAGGAATTAAGAAATAGACAACATCGAATAAAAGCCATTAGAATTCGTATCGTTATCACTGGAGTAAATAGCAAATATCGACTGCTGCTCCTTTTTGACTCTTTTCAGTCAGTAATCAAGTGCCAAAACGTTAAACTCAAACACCCAATCTTCCGGGTTCAAGGTGAACAGATACACTCGAAATCCCTGAGATGAGGTAGGCGTGGCTGCGTACTTCAACTAAACGTCGTGATGGCTATGCTTTTGGAGAGATATTTTCATTTTGACCATTTTGACATAAAAGTGGACACGTCTCTGTCCAACAAGAGGCAGGATGGCGGTTGTCGCAAATTGAAATATCCCACGAGTAACCAGTTCTGTACCCGGTTGTCTCAAATTGAAATATCCCACGAGTAACCAGTTCTGTACCATGTTCAAATGCCACGCCTACCCATTCTCAGGGATAAGGAGTATAAATAAACGCAAATGCGGCACCAACGACGCTCTAGGGGTTGTTCATGCCTCCAGAGCAGAAGACGCCCGCTGCAAGCAACGCAGAGGAAATAGGAGATTTACTGATAGGCTACGGTAAGAGGGGTCCTTTTTATTTTTCAGTGAGGACACAAATAACTCGCAACCACTATCAATAGGGCAGAGCGTCTTCTTTGTTGAACATGTAGTCGTTAGGCGTTAGGATCCGACGAAACTTCAAGATGATCATCGAAGAGGGAGGCCCAACAGGATCCACGTTGAGAAGAACACAAAAGTCCACAATATTCCAACAAAATGACTTCCATATTTTTTAAAAACCAAAATCATTACCTGAAGCTGCATCTACGGCTGTTAGTGGACCTTCTCACGATCCACATCACCATTCTGACGCTTTTTTTTGGTACTTTTTGTAGACAAGGAGGTCTGCGGTCCCTAATGGTGTTTTGATAGCGCTACTGCTATTAGGTTGGTGCATAAGTTCTTGGCCACATGTTTGATCCTTCCGTATTTCGTTTGCATGGATGTTGGTATATCGTCATCACGTGTGCGTGACGTGGGCACTATACTCTTTTATCACACTAGCTATCACTCACCCACCTTGCATTTGCAGGCCACAATGTCGCACAATTTCCACTGTGACAAAATGTACCTGCGCCACTGCCTGGTTTTACTTCACGATTCACAAAAGAAGTTCCACTTTCTCAACTCGATGATCACTGGAGATGAGAAGTGGGTCCTCTACGATAACCCTGTGAGGAAGCGGCAGTGGGTCGACAAAGGAGAACAGCCAGAAGCCACCCCAAAGGCCGACCTTCACCCCAAGAAGGTTCTCCTGTCCTGTTGGTGGTCCAGAAGAGGCATGGAGTACTGGAGCTGCTGGAGAAGGGACAGACGATTGACGCTTCCACATAGTTACCCAGCTGCGGAAATTGAAAGATCACGTCGACCGTAGTGCGGAAATCTACTTCCACCATGACAACGCCCGACCTCACACTGCAAAGGCGACCCAGGCCGAGCTGGAGAAGTACGGATGGCTGATGGTCGCCCACCCTCCCTACAGCCCTGACCTCGCTCCTTCTGACTACTGGCTGTTCAGCCACCTGCAGCGCTCTCTGGACGGAAAAAAGTTCGAAACAAAGGATCAGGTCAGAAAGGCACTCGACGACTTCTTCAAGTCCCAGCCCCGTCGTTCTGGAAGGATGGAA